CGGTTTTTTCCAGAGTGTATTTTAGAGTTTGTAGATGATTTTAGACTATAACTTTGTTAATTTTAGTTTCTTATTCAACGAGTTACAGTCCCCCAATGTCGGGATATCAATATGAAAATTTTCAAAGTTTAATCCGCTAAGTAGTAAGTAATTACCAAAAAATTCTGGTTTTTCCGGGTTTTCTGGTTCTAAACCCACTTTATCCGGTTCCAACCTACCCACTTTATTGTTTCCGGGTTTTCCGGTTCTAGACCCACTTTACCCGAAACCGTACCCGGAACGGGTTCCTATATACCGGTCCGGTTTCCGGTTCTACAAAATCCCATTAACCGGTTCCGGGTTTTCCGGGTCCGGGTCCATCCGGTCCGGGTTTGGACCCACTTTCATCCCTAGTACAGTCCTCTGTTAGATATCATGCTGACAATGTTATGGAATTATTAGTCAAGCATTTGGTTTCTCGATCTTCGATTTATTTGACATAGAACTTAATCGAACACATCAATTCAGTTATGACCGGGCCCGGCACATAAGTCAAATCAAATCATCGAGCAACCGAGATATCGCTTTTTCCTTCTTAGGATAAAAGTTACAGATAAACTTCGACTTATATGCATTTACTTATTCATTAATCAACTATACACAACAATATGTTTTATAACATCGAGTTACCAATGCGTTTTCGCATTATCAATGTACAAGTTTTGGTTATCCGTTGTAACCAAACACGGGGTAACAGGGAATTTCAAACGGTTTGAAGATAAGATTTGGGCGCGTGAATTTGATCCGTTTCAAACCCACGCGTGCTTACGCTTTCCTGGGATTAACCACCCTGTCAAATCGCGCTTTTTCAGGCGATGTTTTAGTAACCTCATCATCACGGTTTCTCTCTCCAGGCAACGTTTTAGTAACCTCATCATCGCGCTTTTTCGCGCTTTTTCACGCTTTTTCAGGCGACGTTCTTACAACGGTGGCGAAGGTCAAGAAGTCATGCTTACCATCGCAGTGGAATGGGTTGCTAATCCTGCTCATCAAGGGTTTAGCGGAAAGAAGTGGTGGTTCTGATACCACTAGCAAAGGCTTTCTCACTATGCTTTATGGTCTATATAACGGGATCAATCTGGATTATGGTACAATAATCTGGTCCCAAGTGGTGCAAAGTTTGAATACCACAACCCGTCATTCTGAAATCTCATGTGGTCGATTCTGGACTGTGATTACAAGGAAAGCTATGGATACTTTGGAGATTCCGGTTATGACAGACGCTCTTCTTGCTTCTATTGCTACATATCACACCACGAAGATTATTCTCTCTGATCCACGTAAGTTTCCTCATTATGGATCAATTCCTAAATCGATGTACATGTGTGTCACAGCACAAAGCACGGTGATGGACGATTACCGAAAATTGACTCCAGTTGGTCCAAGGGTCTTGTCTGCAGAACAACAAGTTGCACATGATGCTTTGGAACAACATGTACCCAGAGGCAAGCGGGTGGTTAAAACAGAGAAAGAAGAGAAAAAGGATAAAAAGGAGAAAGTTTCTAAGCGAAAGGCTGGTGAGGAAGCTTCTTCTCAAACAAAACAGAAGAAGATTAAAAAGATGGCTAAAAGGCCTAAGAGGAATTTGTCTCCTGAACCTGACACCGTTGAAGATCAAGCAGCAGAAACTGAGAATCCTCCAGTGTTCACCAGAGAGCCTACACCACCGAGATCTCAAACCCCACCCTCATCTCCTAAAGATACTCACGTTCCATCTCCTCAACCCACAAAAATTTCCACCCCAACCCAATCACCAAAACAGAAAGCTCCACTTTCTGTTCCCACAGATATACCAACCCTTCCAGTTGAAACTTCTTCTATACCAACTTCAACTATCTATACCTCTGTTCCTGTCTCTACTACACCTATCACAACTCCTCTTGCAACAGAATCCATCACCACTACCATTCCCCAAATCCCAGTTGAAGTCAATGTATCTGATACAGGGGCTACTTCTGTGGTTGATCCACCTATTTCTAAACCACCATCTCCCACCCCATCTTCTAACTCTGGTGCCACTTTGGGAGGTGATGACGAAGAGTATGATTCATTATACTTTAGTCCTTACCGGATTCCAACTGATAGAGATGCTGATGCTCCTGTCAACAATCAACAACTTCAAGACATCAATGACAAGCTTGACCGCCTGCTTGCAGACAGCAAAGCTTATAGTGGGGTTGTCATGAAAGCTTTTGTGGAAACGGCTGTTCAGCAATATACTGAAGCCATTGATCAATCTACTGCTGCTGTAAACAAGTCCACAACTTCATGTTCCGAGGCCACAGAGAAGGTTACTGAGGTTGTTCATACAACTCAGATTTTCCTTGACTCTCTCAAAGCTCATGCTGATACTAATGCAGCAAAGTACCAGGCTTCTGTTGACTCCTTCTCTCAAACTCTTCAAGAAGAGACTACTAAGTTTGATGCCCTTCGTGCTGATCTCAAAACAAAATCCACATCTTTTCTCCAATCCTTGGATTCTCGTTTTGCTACTTTAACTGAAGAAAGCACCTTGAAGGAAGACTTGATAAAACACCAGGCAACCATTAATCTACAGAAAGTACAACTGGTCCAGAATGAAAAAGAGATCTCTCTGCTCAAAACTCAAAGGGCTGTTTTTCAAAGTTGTGCTGGTGATGTGAAGAATATGTTGACTGCTCTCTCGAAGCCCATGATCTGATTCTGACTTTAACTATTCGGAAGCATCTCCAAACTAAACTTCTTCCTGCCATTTCTCTACTTAGTGAAATGAAAGGTGTCTCGGAGAAAGTCTTTCTTCCGACACAAGGGGGAGAGGAGAGCAAAGTCAAAACAGAACCGAAGGTTAATGTAGCTTCGGTTTCTGGAAAGCAAATTATAGACGACAGTGACTCTGATCCTGAAGAGACGATTGTCGAAGCTCTCAAGCGAAAGAAACGAGACAGAGAGCTTGATGAGACTATGAAGGTGGCAAGAGAGGCTGAAGAGAAGGAGAAAAAGACTAAAGAGGCAGAGGATATTTTACAGTGCAAGAAGACTCTGTTTCCCGAGTGGGACAGAGATACTCTTATCACTCAAGCGATTGAGTTTCCTTCCATGTATTGGTTGGAACCGATTGCTTCTTTTGAATGTGAAAACTCAAAGGACTCGCAGTTTGACATGCCAATCATCAAAAGAGCATTCACTTATCATTGCTTTGAGGTCACTGCTGAGGTTCCTTTTCCCAACTTGAAGGTTGACAGGGAGCTAGTTGATTTTTACTTGAAGAACGGTCAACCGCAGTACTTGACTTGGAGTGCACAGAAGATTACAAGAGTCAAGGTACTGAACTCATCACTTGCTGGGAGATTTATGAATGTTCATTTCAAGATTAACCGTGGTACTGCAAACACGGAATATTTCATATCTCTGGCAGATCTTCCCAATCTTAATCCTCATGATTGGATCTTGCTATACAACATTCTGCTCTCAAATCAACGAGAGTATGAGCCGATTTTGAAACATCTTAAAAGGATGTTGGCCTCCTATATCCATGAGCTTGCCACAATGGATCAGGAGATAGCAAGGGTGATGAATAAGAAGCCGACAGTCAAGCCAACATCTAAGCCCGGTGATGTAAATAAAATGAAGTTGGGGCAGATTGATTCAACTAACTTGACTGTCATGTTCACTAAGGGTGACACGCTTAAGTTTCTGTTTGCATTGGTAGACAAGCATCTGTTTTCAACAGATTGTTTGGAGCATATTATCAACATCATTCATCGATGCAAGCAGAACTCAGCATCAGACAAAAAGAATTTTACAGATATGCTTCGGTGGTATATAACATTTAGACAACATGTTCTGGCCATTATACCGAGGATATTTGAAACGGTGAAGAAGACCACTGGTGTGAAAAGAGAATAGAGATTCTGCTCCAAAGACGCAAAGGGGGAGATTGTTGAATATTTTAAGTGTTGCGTCTTGGATTATTTGTTTTGTAATCGGATTGGGCTTATCCATCCGTAGTTATCTAGAATAGTTTCCTTTATCTAGATAAGTTGTTAGGGTTTTATTATAAATATATGCATGCATGTATGCGTATATAAGAGATTAGTCGTTCACGTTGATTCTTGTAACCCTAATTTTACCTCTACAGATTGAAGTTCTTAATCGAGCTCTTCTGGGGTATTTTGCATTAATCATTCGACATCTTCATCGCAATACTTGTGTTCTTATTTACGTTCTTATTAATATTTTGCTTAGAATCATACGATCCTGAAAGAACTTTGTTCTAACAGTAGGTAATTGTCATTTTAAAATCATACCTTTTGTATAATCTGTTATTTTATGCAAAATAGTTAA